ATCCCAATTGAGTTGGCCAACACTGGGGATGGTAAGAGTGTTGGTTTCTGTGGGGCTTGGTGGAAGTAGGATGTTACGCAGTGTATAGACTCTATTTCTCTATAGTAATATACTAGTAATAGACAGCTTAATGGATTGCAGAAAAATATGAGTCGCAAACACGATTTTAATAAAATTAATATAGTTGAAATTTGATGCATTCCACATACGATATTATTCGTAACGTAATAAATTGGAGAAGTATGTATTAAAACAGTGATTACACATGTCAAAGATTTTGAATTTGGACGGCTGGTAAATCTTTAATGCAGCACGTAATTTTAAATTAAAAATTGAAGACTTAAATTTTCCTTCTATATAACCACGACGACTTGTCAGAATATTGTTGAAGCTAAATTTTAACGGTTACAACGTAACGGTAATTTGAAAGAGCGATCACAACGCTTCAGATACTGTATTTCTAGGGTTCTCGAACCGCTTGCCCGTGATGTCATACTCACACTCGAAGATCGTGAGCGTATTAATATGGAGCACGATCTAATTCAATTTGGCGTTCCGTCGGAATTTCTCGGATACTATACTGCGAAGCTTTTTGAGCATACGGAATAATACCGGTAAACTGTTATTCCCATTAAACCTATTTACTAGCGGATCGGTAGACTCTCGAAATTCTTGTTTTTCTTTAACCCAATTTTTGAATTGAAAATCGTTACCAAAGACATATATATAGTGTGAATTGCGTTTTCGTATAGTGTTGAGACCCGTTCTACCATAATTTCTGAAATAGCATGTATCTCGGTCAACGTTGGGAACCAATGCAGAAAGTCGGGAGAACAATTTGTAGACCATACTTACACCAAAAATGCTGCGCGCGCCCTTACGATTTCTCGCCTACCATTTATCTTAGCAGCGTTATATACATCTCCAATTATAGCAATAAGGATGTTCAGCATAACAATAACTAGAAGTAAACTTGAGGCAATAACGAATAGTTTAAGCGGATAGTAGTCCCAATCCAGACCATCCCATCTTCCATTGGTCCAACCGTAAGTTGAAATCACCGAATTCCAAAAGCTTGCAAAATTATTGTCCGAGACATCCTTTTCATTTAACTTCTGGTACACGGTGTAATTCGTCGCGACGTCGCCATCAGGTGTTGTCAGATTAACACCAAATATAAGAGCATTTGGTGCTAGTTTAACATCCGATGGATTATGCAAAAACACATACCTATTTGATATGAAATACAAATTACCTTTTAACTGGGTCTCGAATGAATAAAGATGCGGTTGTAAGAACTTACATGGTGTGTCCAACTGCAAACAAAATGATAAATAATGATATCAAGAACCAGGTAAGATGCTCGAATATGCTAATGACGATGAATACATAAATGCCAGCACCTGAGTCATGAATTAAAACTTTTGTTAGCGTAACCACGCATGAATATCTATATAAAATATACGCCTTCCTTACCTTCATATGGTTTGAGAAGCATCAGTAATTTGAACCATAACATAAACGTGGCAGCAGCAATGAGGGCGTGTAATACTGTATTCCCAAGGTAATTTTTTTTGGTCTCCAAAATAATCGTCAACACTATGGTGGATATATACATAATCAAGTTGCATGAAATTTTGACCATGTCATAAAATGACCTGAGCCGTCGAATTGCATACAATTGAACTATTACAAGGCCAATTCCAATTATGTACGTTATATGTGCTATTTCCCTTTGCTTATCCGTGTCATCAAAACGGAAGATATATGTGCCAAATAGCACTAGAAAGTATATATGAAAGAACATGTATGATTGGTAATAAAAAGAGGTCGCTGCCCATGCCGAATTAACAAGTCCGGCGATAGCTGGGTTATCAAAGGTAATTTCGCTGTTCTCATCATCGACAGCCTGCTTAAGTAACTCGGCTACTTTCTCATCGCATGGCATCGGGACGCGATGCAAAACTTTTACATACTTTTCAGGACCCCTCTCGGGATTCCTAGAAATCCGTTTAATCTGTCAATACAAATTTTCGTACGCCGAAATTAACCAAAACAGGTACAAACGCTCACCTCATTCTGTATATCCCATGCCAAACAAATTCAATGATTTCCCACACGAGTAAAGGCATGAAAATAAGTCGAAGAAGATTTTGAAAATTTATAATATCATGAATAAATTTCCAATCTTTCCGTACTTGGGAAACTTGTTCTATCTTCTTGATTACTAGCTTCTTTTTTAGCTCTTCCAAGTCGTCTGTTAACTTTGGGAACGAACCAAAGATATTTGAGTGCGTTCTTAAAGGAATCTTATGCTGAGATGTAGGCCTTCCCATGAATGTTGGATGAGCAAAAAATCTGTTTTTAAGCATAACTAAATCTATTGCAACGAGACAAATTTAAGATTAATTAACCATCCAACTAAAATTCGTAACAATGCAATAATACAAGTAAACTACTCGATTTTAAATGTCTATATATAATTCAGTACTTACGCTCTTTCTCAGATAGTCGAGTTAAGGCTTTTCTTGCTGTGCACAACCAACCAAAATGTTCGTTGGAAAGGTGAGCGTAATAGGTGAGGAAATTGTCAGTCAACTTAGGCTTCTCCTCCATAGTTATCATCAAGTCGCTGTCTTTCTCCTTTGGGTTTCCGTCTTTATCAGTTTCCCATGTGTGCTCTCGGGGAAAATGGAGTGGTATGCTCAAGTCGCTGTCTTTCTCCTTTGGGTTTCCGTCTTTATCAGTTGTGTGCTCTCGCGGAAAGTAGAGTGGTATGTGCAAATTTTGTTCATCTTTGCCTCTTTCATCACTATGTTCACCACTTACTGCGACAAGATCCTTTACCAGACGAGAACATCCTCCCCTAAGTAAGCACTGCATCAACTCATAACGCACTTCGAGTAGACGCCATTCATTAGGATGTTGTCTAATGAATCTTCGAACAATATCAGTGAGCTGATGTTTCAGCTTATAACGTTTAACGTAGTTGCCTTCTTTTTGCTTGGAATCCTCATCTACACGTTCGTTTAATGCCTGACATGCATCGGTAACCACTTTACAAGGATCGAGCGGCCATCGGATCTCCAAGTAATCTGTTCCTTTGAAATGGAATTTCTCACCATCGATAGCGATTCTGGGCTTGTTAGTGCTATAGCCTGAAGTATGATTCTTTACTATTACTTCTTCTGTGTAACTTGAAGTGCATTTCTCGGTATTCTTTTGGGGGTTTACGTACATGTACAGTAATCGAGGTTTACCATTCTCGGTTTTTTCCCATAGCGATAGTTGTACACACGTCTTTTCAACAATAAATTGTTTTCTCTTGTCTTTATCTAACCACACGCCAATTATGCCCTGACTTTTCCAGAAATTTTAGCAATTTTGCACTATCGTCCCATTCGTACACTCCTGAACGTTCTAATACTGTTTCATCTCTGGCGTTTAATGACTCTTTCTCTGAATCAAGGTTTATTATTATATATTAATATTCAAGAAATGATTTTAATTCTCTGTCGTCAGTAATATATATTGACGTATTACTATTACCAGCACAAGTGGTAGAATAAAAAATAGACTTTTGGAAGAACTTATTTAGCTCGTTAATTTTTACATTCCTGACAGGTCTGCACGTAAATAGTTCCCATATAGTAGCCTCCACGTCATATGTCTCTCTATCTTCTTTTAAAATTAATAGCTGTTCGTCATTGTTAATGAATTCTATCAGCATTACTCTTTGAGTTTCCTTTGGGTCCAGGTCCTTTAAGTCCTTTTTTCCGCATTCCAAACTATTCTCTAGCAGATATATGGCAACCGAGGCGTTATCAAGACAAGCAGCTAATAAGACACGATTACTTGATATTGCATATATCGGTGTTTCATGTCCAAACAGACTCGGGTTCCTGTGATTAGAGAATTCTAAGATGTGTTTCCCGTCCTTTAGATCGTATGCGTGTACCGCATCTTTTGCCCCAGTCTCAAAATATAAATGTGACTTTATATTCCTTGCACTCAATTGAAAATTTTCCTCGTCAGTTCGTAATAGATAATGCGCCTCGTCTTTTTTTATTGACTTTTTGCTAAGTTTATAGGCGAAAGGTATGCTAGCCGGGGAAGATTTCGAAAAATCATCAACCTTATTTGGATTGATCTTGTGCTGAAATAATCCTTCTTCGTTCAACACTGTAAGTAGCCAATTAGAATCGGGACACAGAGTAAAATTGACTACTCCGGCTACATAGTCTACTGACGTTGCTATTCTTGTATTCTTTGTGGAACTTGCCTTTTCTTCACCAGTATTCTTTGAATCGCCTACAATAAACACACGAGTAGAAGAAAAATCTGGTAAATTTTTTTCCATATCTTCAACCTCTTTATTATTATGTAAAACTTCTTGCTCATTCTTATCCACAATTAAAGATAGCGCAACTATAGTGAATCCGTTTACTGCATTAGATATAGCAATACTCCAACGTTTAGCATCACTTTTGACATTGTGACTGAAGCCTGTTGGTTCGAATTGAGGCCCAACACGTTGAGAACTAGAAACCTTAAATGTTTCTAGTAATTGAATGTCTGAGTGAAGGTATTATAAGCAAGCAGTTAATATGGATAATATGAATATTGGGTTATATATAAGAGATAAAAGCTATCTTCGGATAAGTTCGATGCTGAGCATAATTGAACGCTTTTCCATATCCAATTATGTATATCCACCTGCATTGAATTTGACGACTTCCTTTCCATCATCGCTTATTGCAATATCAAATTTCTTGCTGTTATCATCGTTTTCTTGAATCGAAGAACTTATAGAAATCTGGGACATTTCGAACTTGCTTTTATATTGGAGGATAAAAGAGAAATTAGAGCAGGGACAAAATTTACGGTTTGGTGGATTTTTGAAAAAGTTAGAGGCTCATGCCTGAACTTTTGTCGCGCCGTATTTATATAAGGTCATTGACAATCATGCCCGAGTTGCCGTACGGTATTGTCAATAGGTCAGGTACCTA